TTATACATTGTTAAAATTGACATAAAAAAGCAAATTTAGATATCTTCCTTCCCACCTCCGATTTTAATAAATTTTAGATATGTTATAGATTATAGAAAATAAATATATATTTATTACGCTCTTATGTCAAAGTGTAAGACCCTTTTTCAAAAATATTATATATTTAAAGATATTATCTATTATTATTTTTGAATATTTTTAAAATATTTTTAAAATATCTTTATGAATTAAACTTTTTTAAGAACAAATTTAATTATATATAATAAAATTATTTTTGGAAAATGCGTTTTTATATTTATCAATTAATACGTTCAAAAGTAGATGTTTAAAAAACAAAATTAATTTTTAAATTTTCTTTGCATTTAAAATTCCATTAGGAAATCATTTCCATCATATTATATTCCTTTCTCTTATACAAAACAATTTTTATATAAACTTTTTTATATGTTCTAAAATTTTATAAATAACCGCATTTATGTCACATGTTATATGAATTTCCTTGTATAAATATATGAAGGCAATAAATATAGGTATTCAGCACACATATAATTATAAATAAATAAATTTATATAATAACAATAATGATTTGTTGAAATTAAAGTTAAAGTTAAAGAGAAACATCAACTGAATGTATATACTGAACATTAATAGAAGATGTTAAATATTATATTAACTACCATGTAATAAAAAATATATATAATTCTGATCAAATTAACATCATTTCATTTTAAAATTTAAATAAAGGAAACATATTTTTCAAATATTAAATTAAAATCAATTTTATTATTGGATTCGCGAACTAGTCATTCTAATATAATTTAAGAAAATAAATCAAAATGAGAAAATATTATTTTGCTAATTGGTAAATATATATATATATATATATATGTATATATGTATAAGATTGTATAAGTGACAAACGGTCATAAGACTAAGTACTAAATTGATACCTCACAACTTTACCAGTGTTGTTAATTATATATATATATATATATATATATATATATATATACAAACATAATAGATTGGCAAGATCTTGACCTTAGAACTTCTATGTTCGCCTTAGTATTGTCTTAAATCAGCACCCAGAATCCGCAGTCATACAATATTTCAAGTATGAGTAAGTTTAGCTTGGCTAAGTACAAAGCAGAATGCGACCGCATGAAAAACCTGCCACATCGATATAATTACATATCAAGCTCGGAAAATGATAACAGATTATATAGAGGGATTAAACTTTGTAATGAAATGAATGTGCTTCTAATAAGTGATCCAAATACCGACAAAGCTGCTACCTCGATGAACATCTGTGTTGGTAATTTTTATTACATTATTTTGCTATCTTATACATGTAGATAATTCTACGCTATGAACAGGACATAGATCTGTAGGTAGATAAAAAACGATACAATATAAAAAAAAGAAAATCTATATATTTCAAGGAATATACATATAACAATTTCATCTTCCTGATTCCTCCATCTTTTTCGTAAATCAACGCATTCTTCGAATATGATGTGTATGATTTATTTTTTGCATAATTAATTCTTTCTGTTTTTCTTGCATATAAAAATATTAAGTACCTTTAGGAGATGTAAATAATAAATATGTATGTGTGTGTGTGTTTGTATATATAATATAGGATAAATGCTATAGTTTTAAATCATCTAATATTCATTTGTGATTTATTTTAAAAAAATTTTATATCGATTTAAAATAATCTTTATGATAATAGGTTCACATTATTTTGAAAAATGTTATCAGAAAAAGCCTTAGCAGATAAATGAGCATCTTATTATGCTCATTTGGAAAATAAAAAAATCTAAGCTTGATTTTTAATCGAAAGGATATTTCTTGCAATAAATTTCATGATAATAATGAGAAATTTACAAGATTATTTTACAAGACTATTAATATCGTAATATCAATTGACCGTTAATATTAAGCTAATTACATAAAAATTGATATTCCAACTCTAGAAAACCGTTTTAAAATTGAATTAAATGTTTACAAACTAATGTTTACAATTAACAAGTATTTATAATTTAAAAGTATTTATAATTTGCTCATCATATGTATGTTCGATCTGATCGAAATTGTCCATATTTATTTATGTTAAGGTAAAACATCACAGTTAAAAATTAAATTTTTTTATCAGGTTTATATATATTCATTATCGGTAGTGGAATTATGAGCATATTGAGAGACATAAAGATTAATTTTATTTCGATTGACTGAATTAATTACATGAATCATATAATTAATCAAGCGATTAATAAATGATATGTGTGTCATATGATAGGCACCGAAGGTGATCCACGTCACCTACCAGGACTGGCGCACTTGTGTACGCATGCATTATATCTAACGAAGGAAGAAACGCCGCAAAAATATTTTAGAGCTTTCGTAGAAATGAATCACGGCTCAATCAACGCCGAAACGAACGCAAATGACACCAGTTATTTCTTCGATATACATCCGACCAAATTCGTGAAAGCCCTGACTTATTTTGCTAATGTTTTTGTAAAACCACACACTTTCACCAAGGCTACGATCGAGGTGGAAGCTTCTAATCTTAAACACGAATATGAGTCGAAGAAATTCGATGAGAAATGGAGATTACTCAAAATGTTCAGATGGGCCATGGATGGAGAGAACGGGAAATTTGACATAGGCTGCACAGAGACATTATTAGGCGATTTCATTAAGAAAAAAGAAATTAACATTGTGAAGGTATTGAAGACATTTCATGAACGACATTATTATGCCAAAGTCATGAACTTGTGTATTCTTGGCAAAGGTATGATGATAATTTTAATAATACTAAGCATGAGGCTTTAGATTGTGATTTTTCATTTATTTTTTCAATTTTTCTTTTTCGTTTCTTTTTTATTTTATCTTCTTATTCAATTTGTTAAATATGAATCAGATAAATATTTATTCTCAAACGCAAAGTTATTAAAAATTATTTAAAATTATTAATTCGTTTGTTGTTAATTATATTTATGTGATCTTATCGCGACTACATTGTACCACACTTTTATTACAAAAGAAATTTAATAGCAGTTTTAAAAAAAAAACTTGAATTCTTCAAGAAATTTTTCCGTTTTAACTTTTTTTAATTTCTAGGTTTATGAAATTTATTATTAACATTATTAATTGACAGTGACATTAATTACACTAATAATTAACTTATAATTTGAAAACGATAACTGCAGTAGAAATACTTTATAGATAGACCATTAATTATTTATTATAATAAATTCATTATTATAGAAATTAATTTAATATTTTCACGTTGACGAATGAATTTTATATTTAGAAAGTTTAGATAAACTTGAAAATTTGGCGATAAAACTCTTCTCTCGAGTACGTAAGGTTGGTGTACCCGCCGAGCACTATAGTCCACCTAGAAGTCCATCTATGTACAAAATATATTTTGTTCCACATGGAACTTACAAAAGATTGTATGTAACATTTGAATTTCATCATTCATCGAATGAAGTAAGATAATTTTTTATCTTATATTTTCAATATATTTCAATATAATAATTATATATTTCTACATTATTAAATTGGTATTAACATTATGCATGCATTATATTATATTAATATAATATAATATTTATATAATTACAATCCCATTTATGCATCTTGTTTCACTGTTGCTTTTTCAATACAGCCTTACAATTTCTTCATCTATTTGTTCGAATATGATGGGAAAAAATCATTGACATCGGTTTTGAAAGCCAAAGGCTGGGGCAATTCTGTTGAGGCTGGGTTCTTTCCTCAAACTAATGAATCGCTTTTTGTCATCATTGTCGATCTAACTACGGAAGGTCTTGAGCACGTCGACGATGTCATGACAATGCTTTTTCAATACATTAATATGTTGAAGAACAGCAACGATAAACTTAAAAGAGTATACAACGTATGTAGATGATAAAATATAATTTATTATAAATTTATAAAAGTTAAACCATATTATCATAATCGATGTGGACTTTCTTGTGGATAAATGAATAAATAAAAATAAAAGGATAGATATAAATTTTGACAAATAACGATATGATGCGAATCAAATAGAATGCACGTAAAGCAAAATTTAAACTCAATTTATTAGAATGTTATTAAAGTAATTAAAACTGAATTTATTCTGATTTTCGCTCTTAATTCTATTTATTCACTAGGAGTTACTACTCGTACTAGAATATTTTTATTATGCACGAACAATATGTTTTGATTGTACATATAATATTTGATGTATGCATATTTAAGATATTGCTTTTGCAGGAATATAAAGAGATTATGGAGTTAAAATTCCGCTTTAAAAAAAAAGAATCTCCTCTTATATATGTAAAGAATATCTCTCAAATAATGCGTAAATGCTCAATAAAGTTTGTCCTGCGCGAAAAAATAATAGGGAAATGGATGTGGCTTAGAGAATGGCAGCGAGATGACATAGAAAAAATCTTGAATCATTTTTTATCGCCGTTATGTATAAGAATTTTTGTAGGAGCGAATAAATATGAATCTATTATAAACGAAATTGAACCTTGGTGTGGTCAAAAATTCAAAGTAGAAGAGATACCGATGGTTACATGCGCCAAATGGACCAATGCGCCATATCATGCAGTAAATTTAGATTTGCCTCCCGCTAACGAATTTATACCAATACCGTCGATGATTAATGTGAAACCACACAAGGGAGCTCGAGTAATTGAAAATATTTCTCACATTAACCAATAAACACTAGCGCGATATATATGAAGTTTTCAAAAAATTTGAATAGAATCCAATTGTTATGTTATATATACCAAATATTAAAATTATTTCATTTTTTAAATTAATATTTTTCTTTTCTTATATTAAAGATAGATTTTAAAGTTTTCTAACTTTTTATTAATTGTTATTTTTTATTCAATTATTCAAAAAGCTTTAAAAATAGAAACGGTCAAAACTAACTACTTGGTATGTCTAATGTTAAAGCACAAAGATATAAAAGTTAATTGAAATGCATATATTTTTTTGTCTGTGTAGATGTACTTTTTTAAAGTATATATATTTAATGTCTAAGAATCATAAGATGTGTCAGTATTTACATGGACTGTGATCGAAATCCTGATGCAAAATAAAAACAAACGTCATTTAGCATAAAAATAAAAGAAATAATATAACTTTATAATAATAAACTTTTCTTTTAGAATTGTTAATAAGAAAAAATTTTACAGGCATTTCCCAAAATTATAAGAAAAACGCAATTGATGAGACTTTGGCATAAAAAGGATGACAAATTCAACGATCCTAGAGCTACCATAATCCTTCATTTTATTAGGTATATCCAAGTCTAATATTATTCTTTAAACAGATGAATAATTTGTATAATCATATTATCCTTTTCAGTCCGTTTGCTTTTAAGAATTCCACAAGTGTCAGTTTTACACTTATGTTTGTTCACTGTATCAACAAATCTCTTAGTGAATATGTATATCCTGCTGCTTTAGTTGATTTGCGTTGGAAGCTGAGTGCTACTATCCATGGAATATTAGTGAGTAAACTAGCATAGATATATAATAATAATAATAATAATAATAATAATAATAATAATAATAATAATAATAATATTTTTATTAGCATTAAAGAATAAAAATAAATAATGATATTTTTATTAACATTAAAGTGTACCATTGGATAGATTCATACATAAAGAAAATAGAACGAGGAATGCGAAATTGTATAAAAAGTAAATCCAAATTAAATCAAATTAATTTATATAAAATTACATTAAGAACTTTCACTAAATTTCAGTTATTGGATCATTATTTCTTATTATTTTAAAATTTCTATTTATATTATAAAAAGAGAAAGTATATTTTACATTTAAATTTCTTCAATAATATATTTGAATGCAAATTCTTGTAAATTACGTAATTTTTATTTAAATATAATTTTTTATTTACATCATATATTTTTTCGTCAACTAAAAAAAATTACTTATTATTTTTATAAATAAAACTTTACTCTTTGTTTATTTTTCTTATTCGATAATTGTACTCAATTCTCTTTACATAATATTTATTCCATATATGTTTAACATTCAATATCATATAAATTGAAAGTCGGTTACTTAAACTAAAGATCGTTTTTCCAGCTTGAAATAAATGGTTTTGATAATACACTACACGTACTCTTGGAAAAGATCATCGATCGCATGATAAACTTCAATTTAAAACCGCAAAATTTCGAAGCCGAGAGGCAAGAGGTACATACAATAAGACATCACGAATTTCTTATTTAAGTTATATAGGACCGTAATGTTATATATTCAAATTTACTTACAGAATATAAGACTTAATATGGAAGAGCTTAAAAAGATTGAAAATAGTCCACCATATCGACAAGCGCAACATTATCTCTCATTTCTGTTAACCCATAATTTTTGGGAGAAGCAAGAAATATTAGGAGCAAGTTATAGTACGTATAAGAGAATTCTTTTATCATATAATGGATAATTTATTAATATTGATAATTAAACAGTTTTCTGTTTAAAAAAGATACATTTTTTAAAAACTTTTATTTTAAATATATGCTTATTCCTCACGTTTTGATTGACTAATCGTTGTGTGTTACTCGAGTATTTTGTTAATAAATAACTTATAAATAATTATTTAGATAATTGAATATAAACTTTAATTAATAAAATATTATGATTGCATGAATAATATAATCGCTCATTTGTTACAACAACATAAGAAAGAAAAACCAAAAAAAGGTGTTTTCCAGAAAATGAGTTTAAATGTTTTGAATGAATTCTTACAATTTTCCAACATAATTTTTAAAAGCAATTTTTATATAACTGATTACAGAGGAATGAAAATATAATTAGCTCTTTATTGCATGGATTTTTCATTTACTAAAGACAAACATTTTTGTCTTATAACACTCTTGATATGAAATTCTCTTTTCGGTTAAGAGTTTTAGAAACTCAATTATTGCTTGGAGTAAGAATTCTAAGGATTTATTCTTTTTTTGCAAACATCTCAAAAATGACAATTTTTTTACTTATATTGTTCTTGTGATATGTCTTTGTGTGTATGTAAATTGAAATGTGTGTTACACATAAAGATAACAGAATCAAATATGAAACATGACTGAGAGTTATGATATACGAAATTACGCAGATATCGATTTCGAAAAAACTCGACTTTTCATATCGAAATTCTTTTCTACGATATATGTTGAGGGTTTAATATATGGTAACATTACTAAGGCAGAAGCTCGGGATACAGCTGACAAAATCGAGAACAAGTTGAATAAGAAAGTACTTTCGACTGGGAATCTCGAAATATACCATGATATTAAATTGGAAAATGGTAAGCGTAAGCAACAGCAAATAAATAATTAATATTTAATTGCATTTTGATAGCTTGTGTCGATTTTCTATTTTTATTTATCTTATTTATTATACAGCAAATGCGAAGGGCATTATTATTTGTAATGAGTGCTTTGCAAAATCTGTTTCTGATTTGGATATCTGACAAAAAAACATAAAATAAGATTTTTATACTGAAAGAACAAGACTAAAAATTTAGTCAAATACAAATATGGAAATAATTTTCTTGGGCCATTAACGATATTTAATGGTATTTTTTACTAGAAATTCAACAATTTTTGTAATATTATCACATCACATTTAATTTTATTTCTCTTATATATAATAATAATATATTTTGATGGCTCAACAAAATTATTTTCGAATTGCATGAAATTTTTATTTCAGCTCAACAAACCTTTCAGAGTATTCAGCAATAAAGCATTATTGGTTGTTAATGAATGAATTATTGTCTGTTTTACAATCGTTAATCCTAATTTAAGATATAATATACGCATTAGTTTTATTTACATTACAATATATTTTTTATGTAGATCACCATTTCATATTTTACAAAGAGATTAAACAGTCCCTGAGTTGTTTATTGATATTCTATCAAATTAAAACACGAATGCCAAGAATGGATGTCTATTTAGATATCGCACAAGAAATATTTAACGATCATTTTTATAAAACGTTAAAAAATAAGGAAAAGATCGATTTATCAGGCGTTGGCGTGCATAGGTCATTCGAGATGCAGGGCTTGATGATCATGATTCAAGGTGAAAAAGATTATCTAGAAAATGGTATCGAAAAGTATATCCTTACATGTATGCATTATATAATGGTAAGTATAAGTATATTTATGCAATATATTCCAATATTCGTGTACATGAAATGCGTAGTATATGATACTCTGTGACAAAAGCAACAATTCCAATATATAATAAATGAACGTTATTTGTTCATTTTGACGAACACTCGTCAAGATGCCGACAAATAATGTCTCAGTTTGTTACCTGGGATATTTTTCTATGGCAATATTTGTCCGAGCGATAGCTTTCGAATGAAAGCAATTTAAAGCTAACATATGCTCTAAATTACGTATAAACAATAATTACGTATGGATCTAACATTTCTATAAGGCTATTGTTGATAACATTAAAATTCTTCATCTTTCAGTGTCACATAAAGGAAATGTCTAAAGACGCATTTGAAAATATCAAGGAATCACTTCTTCTAAAGTATTCTCTCAGGGAACCGAAAACATTAAATGATTTAGCCAATTTTTTGTGGACTGAGATTGAAAATCAGCATTACAACTTTAATCGAAACGAAGACAAAGTAAAAAATTTACTAGACATATCGTTACCTGATTTTCAGTATTTTTTCAAGGTATTTTAACATCTTTTTATACGCACGTTTCTTATAAAATCGCTCAAAATAAAAATTTTGTTCTAAAAGTTCTAAAAGTAAAAAGCGCGTTTATTGCTGCTATGAATTAAAATTGCTAAGCTCAAATATTTTGTTTCGTATGATATAATATTTATATTAATTTAATATAATTTTTTAGGAATATATTCTAGATAAAAAATCTCCTCAATTATCATTATATATGATACCTGTGAATAGAAATGTGAAAAGAAATACAAGCAAATTAAGAAAACATGTTATGATAATTGAAGACATTACAACATTTAAAAATTGTCAAAATTCACGTTCATTATTAACATTATTGTAAACATAAAAAAAGTGATAAAAGAAATATTTTAAATTTTTCATGCGCTACTACTGATTGAAAATAGGATAATTAAAATTGGCTCATTTTTAAAGCAATTTGTTTACATGTATTTTTTAGTTTATAACTATATATATATATATTTTTTTTTTAATGTTAAATTAATAAATATTCATGTGATTTTTTTTGAAAAATTATTTTATACTATTACATTCATTGCTGAAATTAATTGACACTTAATTGACACAATGTATATATAATTAAAAATTTATTTACGTTTTACTAACATACATACTATTTATAGTTTTTACATAAAGGGATTTTAAAATAAGAGATAATTCTTCATAAATCACATAATATTTAATTTTAGTTAAGTTGAAATTATAAAAATGTAATAATAAATTTCAGAAATAAAATACTTTGTAATATTAATTAATATAATTAATATAAAGTTATCTTTTTTCAATTACTTGAATAATATTAATATTGTTATTATGTTTAATAATATTACGTAATAATAATAATATTTCTAAAAATTATAAGTCATTAAACAAGTGTTTATACAATTCAAATTTATTTTACATCTAAGAATAAATAATAAGCATGCATAATTTATATAAAATGTTTCATAATTAGTAATAGGTAGAGCAAGTTATATCAAGTGGAAAAGTTCTGCACTTTGCGGTTTTCTGGTAGTAATTAATGTAATATTAATTTGTAAAAATCCGCGAATGAACGTGCATCCGTGCGCGAATACACAGTTCAGAGTTACGCGCGCTCAGATATAGGCATTAATTATATGTATATCTAGTATCTATTACTAAAACAGAGATGGTGATTGGCGTTACCGTTTTGACGTTTTGCCGCGTTCTGCACATAGGCATTTATAT